CAGGAATAGAAGCAGCACAAGCTAGAGAATAATGATTCTGAGCATTTGAGGTGGAAATGGAGGTGAGGGTAGTAAAAATATCCTTCTACACCTCCTAGAATAAAAGACAAAAAAAATCCTACCATCTGGGGAAGGGGTGTCATTGCCTGAGGGAAGTAGAAGTAGATATAAGAATCCCACTGACATACAATCTTTGAGTAGGATTGAGTAGTTTTAGGAATCTGTCTGTCACCTAATGACTTTGGAGTTACTGCCCAGGTCACGGTTTGACGTCCATTCCCACAGATGCAGTGAGAGTCTTGTTCCTTCTCCCCTGGGACAGCCAGGAATGCAGGAGAGGCTTCTAGGTGCACCTTGACCTGAAATCACATGTGAGACAGAGACGAGATCAGAGGAAGAAGGGTACCAAAGAAGAATAGGGTGAAATAAAGCATTTTGGAGAGTGGTTAGATTTCAGGTTGCCTAATATTGAAGACCTTATAGGTAGAATTGAACTTGAAATATTAGTATTTTTGTATAACCTGCTCTTTCATGGGACCAGAGGTGAGGAAAAGTCATGATGACATGTGCCGGTGGGAGCACTATTTCTTTGACTGAAATCTTGACCATTCTCTCAGCTTTCCCAGTAGAGTACACAAGATTGGTAAACAGTTATGATTTCAGTGGATATAAGATGCTCACAAATAATTTTTAATTAATGACACATATAAGTTAAATACATGGGAATGTAGAGGTTGAAACCTTGAAGAATCTAAGACATGTAAATGACGCCTATTGATTTTTGATGTCCATATCAGAAATCTTCATACGACACAAACTTCCTAACCTTAGAAGATTGTGATGAGTTAGAAACTTGAGACAACATGGATGGACTTTCCGAATAGGATACTAAGTGAAATGTCAGTCACAAAAAGCTAAGAACCATATAATCTCACCCATATGTGCGATATAAAATTGAAAATCAAGACACAGACAATAGTATGGTAGTTACTATAGGTAAGAGAGTGGGGGTAGTAAAGGAAGCCAAATATATGGTGATGGAAGATGATTTGACTTTGGATGGTGGGCACACAATGCAATATACAGATCATGTATCATAGAAATGTACACTTGAAATCTATGAAATATTGTTAACCAATGTCACCCCAGTAAATTTAATTTAAAAATATTAGAAAGGAAAAAAATAGGGACTCAGAAACTTGTTTTAAGTTGCAATCTGGTATTTGCATATATCAGCAACTATAGTTATGAATATGCAAATGATTATCTAATAGTACTCTTCTTCTGATAAGCACATTTTCCACACAGGAGTTTGATAGTATTCCTAGGAATGCAATTTTAATTTAATTAACCTTGTGTTCAATTTAGGAAAGCGAGGTCCTTACCCGGATGCAATTGGGAAGGTAGTTTAAGACAGTAGCCTTGAGTGTGAAGGCCTCTCCACGGATCACAGAGTAGGGCATTGTGAGTTCCACAAAGAAAGGCTGGAAGGCTCGGAGAGTGGTGGGAAGAGAGAGGCCAATTCCAGTGTCATCGGACAGGCAGAAGGCTCCTGCCTTCCACTCAGTGATGGTATCAGGGACTGTTACTCCTACTTCAGCCACGCCTGATGAGCTGGGGAGGATGGCAATGTGAAGAACAGAAAGTAAGCAGTTAAATAAATCCTTTCTAGGAACCCCTATAAATGACTCTATTGTCATGATTTGGATGCACTCAGAAGAAATATTAATAATGAAGAGTATAAGCAAGGCTTAAAAATAGAGTCATATAATTCCTTTTCTTTTAAATCTGATCATTTTAAAGTCTTGTCTATATTAGAATCTCCTATAGACATACTGCTGTAGTATAATCTATTATAGACAATCCTATATAATCCTACATAATCAAAGCATAATATGCAAATCGACTGAACGGCCAAACAACGAAACGATCATCCAGAGGACTACCCGGGACCACGCTATGACACCCATTTGCACCAGGCCAGCCAAGGCGGGTGCGATGGGATTGGTCGGGGCTCGGCCATTGCCCAATGATCGCCCAGCAGAGGGAGGCCCAGGTCACTGACCTGCGGGCTGTGGCGGGTGGGCAGGGCCTCTCTCTGTGAGGGAAGCCCAGGTCCTGGGTGCCAGAGGGAAGTCGGTGCCAGCAGCCAGGGGAAAGAAGGCCTTCTCTTGCACAAATTTTGTGCATCAGGCCTCTAGTATAGTTATAAACTAAATATGTAATTTGAGATTGTTCTTAAATTTTGATCTCTAAACTATTGTTCCACTTGAGGGCGAGTTTATAATTTTCAATTCTACCACTATTGTGTATAGTTTGCCTTACTGATTCTGTTCTTAATTCAAGAATGCTGATCAATGAAGGGTCTCTCTAAAGTGTTAATCTATGCAGTGCTTGGTTTTATTTAGTCTTCATGCCTGTTTTTTGGACATTTTTGAATTAAATTTGTGCAAAATTTCTTAGCTCTGATGCAATTTATTAGTGAGATGTCATAGCAGCAGTGCTTATGTCCAATTTCTCCTAAAAACAGCAATGTGTCCAAAATTGAAAATTATGAGGAATATCTACTGTTGTATCTTATATATAAAGGAAGTTACTTACTCTACTACCACCAAGTCCCAGATCCACGTCTCAGGAAAGTATTTTCTCACGGTCTCTGTGACAGGCTCTGGGACAGGCCCTGAAGCACCTAATACGTAATTACTGCTGCCTCTCATTGACATTCTTTCTATGGTGGGTGAGGGAGGAGACAAAAACAATAAATATAAAGCTCAAGCTTATAAGAGACTTTGATAAGTGCTACAAAAGAAATAAACAAGGTGATGAAATAGGAACCAGGAGAAGACACTTGGGTGTTAAGGAAAAGCTTCTTTGAGAAGGTAATGTTTTAGCTGAATTCTTAACTTTTGAAATAAGCTAGGAGTGAGGTGGGGGAAGAGAATCACAAACAGAGAACATAGAGACAGAGGCAGAAAGAACCTAGGATTGTCAGTGGGGCACAAAGGAGTCCTCTGTGGCTCCTGCACATTGTGCAAGTGAAGATTTCTATGACATGGAGGCGGGAGGGGGGAGGAATCAAAATTTCCATTTGGTATGTTTCTCTGTGGGAGAAAAGAGAAATCATATCCAGACATCATGGCAGGGGCTTTGTGGAACAGTTCATGGGAGTGAAAGGATAAAGGATTACAAAAAGAGTACCTGGGTTGCAGATTAGATCCTGGCCCTGGTGGGGAGATGGGCGGGAAGCAACCGATCTGTGTGTCTCTCTCACATCTCTTTCTCTCTCCCCTTCCACCCTCTCTAAAAATCAATGAAAAAAATATTTTCACTCCTCGGGTGAGGATTAAAGAAAAAAAAGCTTCTTATTATGTGTCAAAAAATCAGTTAGGATCTCTCATACTGTTTACTATAACTTCTGTTAATGATGTACTGGTAAATATTTAACAAAGCACACAGGAAAAATATTTGTGCATATATATACTTGTATATACATAACTATAAATCTGATAAAAGATTGTAGAATATAATTTATAAATATTAATACAAATATACAATAATTTAAATTCCAGATAGAAAATTTATCATTGAATTTTTTCTTTAAAAAATATTTTTATTAATTTCAGAGAGGAAGGGAGAGGGAGAGAAAGAGAAAGATCAGTGATGAGAGAGAATCATTGATTGGCTGCCTCCGACTGGGGATCGAGCCCCCAACCTGGGCATGTGCCCTTGACTGGAATCAAACCTGGAACCCTTCAGTCTGCAGGCCGATGCTCTATCCACTGAGCCAAACCAACTAGGCCGAATTTTTTTCTTGATATTTGACAAACTCTTTGGTTTGTACTCAACCTGTATTCAACCGTGATTTGACAATCAGACTAGAAGCAAATGCTTCATTACTATCTGACTCATCGAAGAAATAGCCCATGTCATTGATAAATGGGTGATTTCAACACGAATATTGCCTGATGTTATTGGGACATTAAGGAACTTCTTCACTTGATTGGTGAGAATGTAGCCTGACTTACGAACATTTCTGTTTCTGTTTACACTGATCCTACGCCCGAAAACTTTCTCTTTCTTTTTGAACGCCACATATTTTTATGTACTAGATACAAATTCTTTATGACTGGCTTTTCTGAATCCTCAATCAGAATCAATTCCTTCTTTTATTCTGCACATATTCCCCTGTCTTTTAACACTTTTCACAATCTGCTGTGTGATCTCTTCAGCTTTGCATATATGGGGGTTTGATGCAATCAGAATTTTTGGGGTCGTATTGCTATGTAACCTTGATATATCTGAATCACAAGTGTTTTTTTGGTTAATTTTAATAATTCCTTCTATTTGGTTCAATATGTTAGGCAATTTATTATTATTATTATTATTATTATCATTGTTTTACCTGAATACTCATATAGTCTTGCAACACCTGGGCTTCCAAAGGATTGGGGATGATAGTATGAACACACTCTGGGTTTATGAATCTTTGAGTTGGTGAACACCTTTAAACCCATATCCTGTGAAGAAAATTATCACCTAATTAGTACATAAATATTATAAAATATATAGGCACATACTCTTAAAAATTGAAATTAATAAACAATCCAATTAGTTTAATATGAAACTTAAAATATTTTTAAAAAATATTTTTTATTGACTTCAGAGAGGAAGGGAGAGGGAAGGAGATATAGAAACACATCAGCGGTGAGAGAGAATCATTGACCAGTGGCCTCCTGCACATCCCCTACTGGGGATCGAGCTCACAACCTGGGCATGTGCCCTTGACCAAATCAAACCTGGGACCATTCAGTGCACAGGCCGACGCTCTTTCCACTGACCCAAACTGGCTAGAGCTAATACTAAACTTTTAATGTTCACATTTGTAGAAGGGATATTGGTACACTTACTGAGGTAATTTCATTTTTTTAAAACACTTTGAACAGTAGTTATTTTATAATTTGATATTTATAAGTATAATAAGGAAATGAATTTTAGTAAAAAGAAGAAAACTTGATTAATAGCCCAAAAAGTTACAGTACTGGCTCTTTGCTATTAGTGGATCTCCTACTTATAGTGACCTTGGAGAAGTCACTTGACCTCTCTATGTCTCATTAGCCTCAACTATGATATGAAGGCATTAAATAAATAATTTTTAAAATATATATAACTAGAGGCCCGGTGCACAAAAATTTGTGCACTCGGGGGCAAGGGGTCCCTCAGCCCAGCCTGTGCCCTCTCCCAGTCTGGGACCCCTCGGGGGATGACCAACTGCTGACTTAGGCCTGCTCCCCGGAGGATCGGGCCTAAGCTGGCAGTCAGACATCCCTCTGGCAGCCCTGGAGCCCGCAGGGGATGTCCACTTGCCAGCGGTGAGCAGGACTAAGCTGCAGTCGGACATCCTTAGCGCTGCTGAGGAGGCAGGAGAGGCTCCTGCCACCACTGCTGTGCTGGCAGCTGTTAGCCTGGCTTGTGGCTGAGCAAAGCCCCTCCTGTGGGAGTGCACTGACCACCAGGGGGCAGCTCCTGCATTGAGTGTCTGGCCCCTGGTGGTCAGTGTGTGTCATAGTGACCAGTCATTCCCAGTGGGTCTGCTGTTAGGGTCAATTTGTATATTACCCTTTTATTATATAGGATGGAGGCTTGGTGCACTGGTGGGGGCTGGCTGGTTTGCCCTGAAGGGTATCCCGGATCAGGGTGGGGGTCCCACTGGGGTGCCTGGCTAGCCTGAGTGAGGGGCTGAGGGGTGTTTTCAGGCTGCCCAAGGCCCCCAGTGGGGATCCTCACCCCATGGTGGTGTGGCCAGCCTGGGTGAGGGGCTGAGGGCCAGTTTAAAGGCTGGCCACACCCTCTTTAGGGTGGAGGTTCCCACTGGGGTGCCTGGCGAGCCTGGGTAAGGGGCTGATGGCTATTTGCAGGTTGGTCAAGCCCCCATTGGGGACCCTCACCCCATGGGGGTTTGGTCAGCCTGCGTGAGGGGCTGAGGGCCGTTTTCAAGCTGGCCACGGCCGCTGGCTGGAAGCAGGTATCTGGGATTTATTTATCTCCTATAATTGAAATTTTGTAGCCTTGAGTGGAGCTTAAGGCCAGCAGGGCAGGGGGGAGCTTGGCTTCCTCTATTGCCGAGGCAACCCAAGTCTCCTGTTCACTCAGCTCCATGGCTGCTGCCATCTTAGTTGGGTTAATTTGCATATTCGCTCCTGATTGGCTTGCGGGCATGGCTTGTGGGCGTGGCTTTTGGGTGTAGCAGAGGTATGGTCAATTTGCATGTTTCTCTTTGAGTCTGTAGGCCAACGCTCTATCCACTGAGCCAAACGAGTCAGGGCTTTGCATGTTTCTCTTTAGATTAGATAGTTTGTAAACCTTAGGAACTAATCATCTACAATAGAAGGAACTTACCTGTAGGAAGCTATACATATCTTTTTCGTTTGTACTTGACATTGGGGAATAGATGATTCCATTGATGTGGATCTGGTCACTGACACAGTCTACATTAGTTTCCTCCTGTTGATTCAAACTTCCAGGGAAACCAGTGAGGTCCTTTACTGGTAGCAGGTTATAAACCTGTACAAATGCAAAAGTTTATTTTTCTTAAGTGCAAGGATAAAAGAAAAGAATAATTGCCATTAGTTTTGAGTATCTTCATTGCTTAGATATTTTATAAAGAAGACTAGAGGCCTGGTGCATGAATTCATGGGGGATGGGGAGAGAGGGACCACAGGAGGTTGGCCTCTGGCCCCGAGGAAGGAGCTGGTCCTTGGCCCCCCTGGGAAAGGGGCTGCGTCCACCACTGCCCACTCCTGGTTCCCTGTCCCAGCCTGGGCACGAGGGCCCCAGTGGGTTTGGGAGAGGAGACGACAGTCATCGGGGCAGGCGTGGAAGGAATGGACGCTGATGCCACCATTGGCGCCTCACCACTGCACAGTTCCCTACTTCTTCCCCCCCGCCCCCATCCTTCCCTCACCACTGTGCTGCCACCACAGCAGGTGGGTGGCCCGCCCCCCGGGAAGGCAGAGGATGCGATCAAGACTGACCCTTGTGTCAAGGGCTGACTTATAATAGATCACATTGAGGGAGCTGCTCTGCTACATAAGAAAACCTGACCCAGAAGCAGGTCTCTACTAGTGGTTTAGCACCAGGGGCTGATGGGGGCTGGCTAGCTGGGGGGAGGGGCCATGGGAGATTGGCTATGGGAATGCACTGACTACCAGGGGGCAGCTCCTGCATCGAGCATCTGCCCCCTGGTGGTCAGTGAGCATCATAGCAACTGGTCGTTTCAGCCATTCTGTTCGTTTGGTCATAATGGTCACATATATATATATATATATATATATATATATATATATATATATATATGATTTTGAAAATAACAATTTTAGGAAAAGCAAACAAACCCCAAAACATTGCCATCTAAGCAAGGATCATAATACTTTGATACATAGTTCAAAGGCAAACCTTAGACTCCATGCTAGAATGAAATATAACTATTAAGAGAAATTGAGATCTGCTATACTTGAGACATTGTACAAAGCTTTAAGACGGTAGAGTAAAATGATAGCTTTGTCTCTATCTGATGGTTAGCAACTGACTCAGTGCATAACAAAGTTAATGGACATATGTTCTAAACAGGTACACAAAGAAGTATATATCCTCTAATAGGGTAGTATTTTCTTAGGCATTATTCATGGGAACAAAATGCTCCAGATCTTTACAAATACCTAAAACTTTAACTGTAAAATACTGGAAATGATGTTTTCAAATTCTTTTGAAAAGGAAGAGTAAGACAGATATAAAAATGCATTATATTAATAGGAGTTTAAAATTGATTGATTAGATTAACAAAGTGAGTAACGAAATTAGACACTTATCCATCTTCCTTCTCTGCTTGTTTTTCCCAAAGCAATCTATATATAGAAAAGCCTAAGTGACCAAACAACCGGAACAACTGCTTGACCAGGTGCTATGACGCACACTGACCACCAGGGGGCAGATGCTCAATGCAGGAGCTGCCCATCTACTCAAAAAGGCATTTCTTCTTGCTTGGAGACCCTTTTACCTGGCCCTTCCTGACCCAGGCTGAGGGAACTCACCGAGGACGGGGAGAGCTCTGCCTCAGGCTTCATGAGCAGCACGCTTTGGTCCACTGCACGGAGGGCACAGAGCGACTGAGGAGAAGCTGTGACTCGCAGGTGGACGGGCGAGGCTGGAAGACTTACTGCTGGCTTGAAGGTCAAATCCACCTGTGAAAGTGGAGAGGAAGATCAGAAAAACAAATTTTCTAACTTAACCGTGTATTCACCAGCATTTTCTTTTTTAAATTTTTTTTTAAATATTTTTATTGATTTCAAAGAGGAAGGGAGAAGGAGAAACATCAATGATGAGAGAGAATCATTGATCAGCTGCCTCCTGCATGCTCTACATTGGGGATGGAGCCAACAACCCAGGCGTGTTCCTTGTCCGGGAATTGAACCATGGATGGCCTCCTGGTTCATAGGTCGATGCTTAACCACTGGGCCACGCTAGCTGGACCACCTGCTTTTTCTGAGTGCTGCTTACTTTCAATGCATAAGCACTTAGTTTGACTTTGCGGTGGTTGGCACTGTGTGAGACCTGAGGCTTTTGGTCCCCTACATGTCGTTTTGATTTCCAAGAATCAGCTAAGCCATTATAATGACATCTAATTATTTTTACAACTTACTAAATTTGAGATGCCATTTTTTCCTTTGATACACAGTGTAATGTTCATTCACTGCAAGGTAGAATGCAAATAGTTCTAGATGCTCTTGTGTTTATCTTTTGGCTCTTTAGTAATCTTAAGAATGTATTTTCCAGCATTTCATCAAAAAAGAAGGGAACAAGGTACTCTGAATCATATCATATGGTAAGGGATAATACATGAGAATTCTGCACCAGGAGTCCAGTGACATGGCTTCTTAATGTGACTCTGCCATTACCTTGCTGAAGTCCTGCGGAAGTTCATTTAACCCCTTTGGTCCAAATGCTCGCATGTAGAAAATAATAAGGATAGGTACCTCTAATTTAATGTGAAAAGTTTATGGTATGAAGCACCCACCTTGTTGGCCAGACAGTTTTCAACCTCATATTTTGCAGAATCCCCGACTACTTCCCCATCAGGTAAAATGGCATAGATGAGCAATCGAGCAACTGGAGCGATGTCTGGTTCCACAGGGACCGACACAGGAAAATGGCCTTTCACTGGAGCACAGAGACAGTGAGGAAGGGATTATGGGTTAGGTATATCCCCAGGGCTAACATGGATGGTTTCTATTGCACAAAGCCCTTTATGAGCCTGGTCGGGTTAATACCATTTCTATTAGTAGGAGTAATAGATATATTAAACAGCATGTAACAAATAGATGACTATCCTTAAGAACTCTATATCTTTAAGAACTCTAGCTTTAGGGAAAAAGAAGCCTTATTAAAAGTCCCTTTTTCTCTCTTAAATGATGATTTATCACCAATTTTAAAGTTCTTATATACAGTTCTGATGCTATCTAAGCATATGGAGACATCTTGGCTGCCATTTGATCTAGACCTCACATTAGAGAAGGGAAATAGAAGGTGAAGCTGTGAATTATAATATTAAGAGTTTAACACATTGTATTTATCCTTATGTCCTTTTTAAACCTCTATGAACAGCATATTCTATTTTTTTTTCCTTAAGAGGAACATGGTGCTTCTTTGGAAGTTATTTTTTGATGTCTACATAGATTTTTTAGAGGTTGCATCAGACTTCTGTACATCTTCTGTGTTGCTATGAAAAAGCAACAGGAGAGTAAGTCACTGTTAGTTTTCTAGTAGGTGTTCTTTCAGACTTTCTTGGAATAGGAGAAACCATCAGAGATTTATATTGTTTCATATTCGTTCATGGGAAGAGTCCAATTCAATGGTGGAAGTACCCAATTAAATTCTTCATAAATTGTAACTATCTTTGAAAAAGAAAACTTATATACAAATATAAATAACTCAGCACAAAATCTAGTACATAGAAAGCACTCCCAAATTTTACCTTCAGCCCATTGATTAAAACTATTTTGAAATGTTGTTTTGCAAAGGTGGTTCATGAATATTTATGGTTTGAAAGTTTGGAATAAGAATGGATTATAAGAAATACTACATCTACCTTTTAAATAATCTGAACAGAATACACTGAAGGAAAAGACATATTGGGTGAAAAAAAAGAAACATTTTTCTCCTTTCAACTTTTTCTTTTTTTAAAAATTGTATCTTTATTGATTTTAGAGAGGAAGGGAGAGGGAAAGAGAGATAGAAACATCAATGATGAGAGAGAATCATTGATCGGCTGCCTCCTGCACATCCCATAATGGGGATCAAGCCCGCAATCCAGGCGTGTGCCCTTGACCGGAATCAAACCTGGGACTCTTCAGTCTGAAGGCCAACACTCTATCCACTGAACCAAACCAGCTAGGGCTCAACTCCTTCTTTATTGGGGTTAGACGTAGATTGCCTCTCTTTATTTGAAACGAATCCTGGTATTTCTGCATTGTAAGGTTGAATGTGTCAGATTGAGGTGGGAATGTGGAATTATGAAAATACTCACTGTCTTCCTGCTTCACAGGCAGTACATGAAACCCAGTTCGGACAATGCCTCCCTTTGCCATTATCTGGAAAAAAACCCCCCAAAACAAAGGCAATGAAAGGATCTTACTTTAATTCTTGCCCTCTATGTGACATGCTTATTTTCTTTGAACCCCTGCTAGCAAGAATTAATTAACCCTGTAGGGCAGTGGTTCTCAACCTTTCTAATGCTGCGACCCTTTAGTACAGTTCCTCATGTTGTGGTGCCCCCCAATTTCATTGTTACAAGTTGAACATAATTAAAGCATAGTGATTAATCACAAAAGCAATATGTAATTATATATGTTTTTTCTGATGGTCTTAGGCGACCCCTTTGAAAGGGTCATTCGACCCCCAAGGGGTCGCGACCCACAGGTTGAGAACCGCTGCTGTAGGGAGTTAAGCTTTCAGAAGAGAAACAGACTTTCTCAAGAGCTTATAAATCTTGCCCCACAGAGCTTATAAATCTTGTCTACAGATGACTCAGTGCCGTGGTCCGCCTTCTCACCAGGTAATAGAACGTGAGCTCCCTTAGCTCCTTCAGGACCTGTCCATTCAGAACATAATGTGCTTGGATGGTTTGAGTTTGGCCACAGCGCAGTTCATCAGGTATGGTCTCAAGGTGGACAAAGCTCTTGCTGGGAGAGAACACACGAGTGGCAGTGTGATAAGCATCTCTGTGCTCTTCTGCCAGCCATTGGTGGTCATAACAGTGGCTCTGATCCTTGTATTTGACCTAATGAATTAGGAAAAACAGTATTATTGTATAGTTTATATCTCACAGAGAATCAGTGTTCTCACAAAACTGTATTAGTTGACTGTCCTACCTAAGCTAGTCCCGAGAAGTCTTTTGCTCCATAGTAACAAGTGAGAGAGAAGCCCCCTCCTTTTTTGGTTTATCTCTATTGCAGGCATGGTTTGTGCCTTTACATTGAAGAGGTTCCTAGGGTTGCTGTTGATATTTTTGAAGAACATAAAGGGAGACATCCTTGCTCTGACTAGCTTCCTTGACATTTCTTTGGCCACTCTATTGTGCAGAGACACTATGAAACCTCTTTGAGGAGACTTAAATAATGTCCAAAAACTGAAGAATCACATTCACAAATTGAAGTCAATGCCTCATTCATGCTGAGTTGCAAATAGATATTATGAGTAAATGTAATATTGCAACGTTAAGGTTCTGAGGAAACTTTGCATAAATAGCATTAGTTCTTGAGCTGGCAAATTGGCCAAAGTCCACCTCTTTGGAGTTTCCTGGATTCTTTTTAAAGCTTCTTGTGATTCTGGACTCTTAAGCTCCATAGGGATTATTTGAGTTGTATTTCAATTTTTCTCCATGTAGAAGTTGTTTGTTAGTTTTTATGCTCAGGCTTCCACTACCCTCATCTTCACCTCCCAAGTGGCATGAGTGAATCTTTGTTCAGCCAACCATTTTGTTCATATCTCAATGTATATTCCAGTGATAACATATAAATGCTCATTAAACAGAGTAAGCATTTAACAATAATATTTTCATTTTTTTTAGGACTAGCACCGTGCCTAGTACAGAGAAGATATTTGAGATAGTTCTTAATAAAATAAATGGGTAAACATTCAATTTTCACTTATTAAATGTATAGGCTTTGATGACAACTATTTACAGCTTAATTAATAAAATATTATTTATTCCTCTTTATTTTTATATAAGAAATTACAACAGGTATGGGTTTTTCATCACTATTACTATGTAATATCTATTGTGTAGCCATATATCCATAAATGTGTATCTACATCTTCATTGCAGAATAGAGGACTGTATGCTATAAAAAGCAAACTATATGGGTATGGAGAGCGTGGAGAAAATTAGAATAGCAGGACAAAAGTAAGTAAGGACAATAATTTATGGAGTTAAAATGCTAATGATGTTAAAATGGGCTTTTACAGCAACAATATTTAACAGTTAAAGGGGCTCACAAGGTGCTTTAATATGTAATATCTCTAATCTCACAACAATTCTAAGAGTTGTGTCCATTTTACAGATAAGAAAATGAAGTATAAAGGTTTTTAGTTATTTGCTCTTAAAAAGAGTTGAGCCAGGATTTTATTCTTATTTATTTCATTCGGAACCTACACCTTTTAAAAAAAATTGTGGTAAGAAACACACAACATAAAATTATCATTTCAACCATTTTATGTACAGTTTGGTAGTGTTAAGTAGTGTGCAATGGATCTTCAAAATTTTTTCACCTTGTTAAACTAAAACTCTACATCCATTAAACAACAGTTTCTAACTTCTCCTTTCCAGTCATAGGAAGCTGCCATTCTACTTTACATTTCTATGACTTTGACTAGTGTAGATACATTGTATAATTGGAATCATACAGTATTTGTGTATTTTTCTTTTTGTGACTGGGTATTTCACTTAGCATAATGTCATCAAAGTTCATCTATGTTATAGCATGTGACAGGATTTCCTTCCTTTTTAAAGCTGAATTCTATTCCATTATATGTATATACCACATTTTATTTATCCATTCATTTGTTCAAAGATATTTGGGTTGCTTTCACTTTGTGGCTATTGTGACTAGTGCTGCTATGAACATGGGTGTGCAAATATGCATTAGAGACACTGCTTTCAATTCTTGTGGCTATATTCCCCATAAGTGGGATTATGAGATCATACGGTATTTCCATTTTTAATTTTTTGAAAAATTGCCATACTGTTTTCGATAGCACCATTTTATATTGCCAGTAATAGCATACAAGAAGAACCCACACTTTTAACCACCAAAACTTTTTAATAAAGTTTTTCAAAGTTGACCTTAAATTGGTTTCTAGTTTCTAGTGTTTTTCTCTCCATTGGACTAAACAAACTTGGAGATCTCATCACTTTAGGTTGCAAGCATTTTTCAAGGCTACTTCATGTTATTGGTAACTTCTTTCCAAGCTTACCCTGACAGAGAGGGAGGAATCCTTAACGTTGGTGGTGTTGATGGAGAACTGCGCTAGGCCAAACTGATCCGTGGTGGCATTGGAGACATAGTTAGCGGCATTTGCTGTGATGTGGATGAGTTTATTTTGCATGGGGACACCTTTCCCATCCACGAGGCGCACCTGAAGATGAAAAGCTGTGGATCAGTTATATGGCTAATCTCCAATAGGCACCCAACATATTCATTTTATCAGAAGTATTTATATGAGTGCATCCTATATGTTGAACACATTTTCAAGCATTGAAGCTATAGCAGTGAACAAAACAAAGGTCCTTCCACCGTAGAGCTTACAGTCTAGTAAGGGACAGATGCGAAATCAATCCATAAGTAATATACACTTATTTAGTAGTAATCAGTCCTAAGAAGAAAAATAAAGCAGTATTGTATGAGGCCAGGTGGGTATTTGAAACATCGTGGGGACCACTCTGTAAAATACATGATGATCCATCCACTATGCTGCATATCTGGAACGAATACAGAATAATATTGAGTGTAAACTGTAATTGAAAAATTAGAAAAAATAAAGCAGTGTAAAAGGATAGAGCATGATGGTGGGTCTGTGTATCATATATTACTCTTGCAGAGTCACAGAGCACAAGAATCATACAGCATTGAAAAATTTTAAACCACTGCCAAATTTAATTGAGTTCCTCTTATTGTGTGGCGGACAAATAACTTTCTATGGTGTTGTGTTCTGTATAATAAGTGTACAAGTGAGCAATGAATACACTGTCTGGTATGCTTCTCTAGTTGTTTTATGCATGATATCTGCTTGTCAACCTAATAATCTTTTGGAAGGTAGGCAGATTTTATGAGGCACTTGCCATGTAAAAATGTAAAATTGAGAAGAAGCACACCATCCTAATAAAGGCTTAAAGTCACATTACTGTTAATATTAAACTCAGCAGATGAGTAGTCTAGTTCCTATTGTGAAGATGTTCATTCCTTTCCAGGATAAGCTACTTATTATGGTAGCAAGAAGCACAGGGGCAGACTTGGATCAGTATGTGTAACTGATTAACAAAGTCTAGGTTTGTCACTGAACTGTCAGCTGCATGTACAAAGAGAAGGATAAAATTCTGATTTTTCTCTTCTGATGAGTCTTATGACTAATGGAACACTTATTTAGCAGGACTAAAATATCAAAAATGTACAATATACCTGAGAAATTTAAAAACATGAAGTGTACTTTCATTTTAGGATGTGACCAAAGTTTCTGAATATGTTTGCTGTCATAACATAATCAAAACATTCTAAAATTTACTCCTTGACTCCTTTGTTGAGTCTAGTCCCTCTGTCTTTCACACTCTCCGCAGCTGAAATTTTATAGCATTTCCATTAAGAATATGACACACAGTCATTATACATGAGATGCACCCAACTGTTATCTCAGACTCCTGGACCCAGAAAGGCCCATTTGCACATCTGCTTATACTAGAAAGATAACAATAAAATATTTCTCTGTAGATATGTGAGAAAATTTATATTTTTAAAAGCTGGGAACCTTAAATAGCAGTATTTTACCCTTGTGTACACTGTTTTACTTGCATTTATAGAAAAAGTATAAATATAATATCCATGAAAGAAATACTAGGTATAGTAGCATTTTTTATGCTTCAAATAAAAATTAAAACCATGTACCCATTCATTGCCATGTGAAATTAGTGTTGGAAGGATAATGTTTGTGGCCACCATGAATTCTGAGCTGCTTGTGAGAAAATATCATAAAAATATGAGACTGCCAAGTCAGTCTCAGTCTCATATTTTAATACCACATGATCTCACTCATTTATGGGTAATTAAGACCATTATAAACTGATGACCAAAAAAAGATACAGAGGCAGAGCAACATCGAACAGACTGTCAAACTACAGCGGGAAGGCTGGGAAGGGTTGGGGGTAGGGATGGGTAAGAGATCAACCGAAGGACTTGTATGCATGCATATAAGCAGAACCAATGGACATAAGACACTGGGGTGTATAGGAGGCCAGGGGAAGGTCAAGGGGAGAAAATAAAAAGGAGACATATAATACTCTTTGTAATACTTTAAGCAATAAAACAATTTAAAAAAATGAGACTGCCTGATAAACTGTGGGAAGGAGATTGAGTGACACCACACAATGCTGTTCCAGAAGTGACAAAAAAAACCTTGCTAATTTTGCGGATGCTTTAGAACGATTTTATAGATTTCATTTACAAATTTACAGAGGGACATATATGTGGTTTTAATTTGTATTGTATTTTGTATAAATCAGCAGGTAACAATAATCAGGTATAGTTTTAGCAGAATATGCTATGCTTATTAGATGATGATGCAAAGTTTGGTTTGTGAATTGACAAATACTCCACCTGTCCAAAGAAGGGGATCCCTTGTCTGAAGTGTGGGTCCACTTTCACAAATGAGAGTTGGGTGATAGTTCTTGTTATTTCACTGAGCCCTCTTCCAGTTAACTCCACCTCTGAAAGAAGAAGAAAAAAGAAAGTCATTTTTTGGAAGGACGATCGGCCTGAACTTCTTATCCTACCTTCCCTCTTTCAAGTCATACTTTGGCAAAGGATATAAATCAATGTCCATTTCCTTTTCTCCCATACCCACATGGTACACAAACCTGTTCCTTCTTCTTTGATCTTGGCTTCCACTTCAAGTTCCATTTTCAAACCTTCTCTCTTCATCTGGAAGACCTTGGTTTTTACTTGCTGAGAGACGCAACCCTGGCTGTTTAGCTAGGAGGGGATAGAATAAAATACAAGAACATAACACTAGACAGACCAGGGGTCGATTAATCTGGTGGGATATTTGGGGGGGGGGCAGGGAATATAATTTAGGTATTTCCTATAAGAATATAATACCTTTAGGGATTGGTTATTATTACATTTTACAACAGTATCTGGTTTATAATTGACAGGTGTTTTCTCCAGTATTTGAGATTTCTTATTGTGAATGAGATAGAAATGCCCTAAAATTTTGGTGATAAATCTTACTGTAATAGGCGGCTAACCCTTCACCAAAGTTTGGCTCCCCTTCCATAGTGTACAGCTATGGCTAGAAAGTCACCGCCTATCTTGGAATTGTGTTTCCTACCTCACTGGTATGTAGGTGGGGCCATGTGACAAGTTCTTGTTCATAGAAAGAATGAAACTGACATTCTTCCCAGAAAAGGTGGTTAAAAGGTATGCTTTCCCCCCACTCTTTCCTTCATACAAATGGATGTCAAAGATGGCTTTGGATACCAGTTATTGAAGTTGGCTCAGCTTCCATCATTCCGTGTGTTTGCTGCACCAAGAACATCCATAATGGACAATTATAGGAAATACATAATTCCTACTGTGCTAACTCACTTATTTTAAAACAACTACTATACCTAGCATAGAATTCTCTTATCGGGTGCTATCTTCCTGAGTTAGCATCATATTGTGACTCACTGCTTATTAACAATGCCTTCGTCATTAGTCCCTAGAAGAGTTTTCCACCTACCTTCTGACTTAATTTCTCACAGAGAGCTTGTGACTCTCCACCAAAACAGTTAGAAGGATTATAATACTTTCTGCACATGCTCAGGGTCACACGTCCTGGGACTGGCTTTCCATACGTGTATCTGTCATAAGAACATCGCCAAATGAATCAAAGTAGACATTGAAAATCCACATTTCCGACCTATTTATATTTCCTCTCTTAACTAAATTATATTTACTCCCATCTCTTCCCTCTAATCTGCACTTTCCATTTGCAGGCTCAAACATTATTGAGCACAGTCATGTAATGACCCTTCTCTTCTAGAATTCTCCAGTGCAACATGCTGAAACTTAGTATAGTCTTCTTTTATCATGCCTTTTCTCTTAATTTTTAATTTTCATCTAAAAAACTATCTTTTGTAGCCTAGTCTCTGTAAGGACAATTGCCTGTGCCATGATAGTTATAATAATGCTGGTAAGATTGTGAAAGAAAATAAGAAGGGAAAATAGGAAGGCAACAGGAAAGGAAAGTTCTAGAGATGAGATGCTCTCATGTATTTCAAGTATTTGTGCTGTCACTGTTCCTAAAACACTAGCCAAAATATCCCAAATGTTGAGTCTTTTTAAAATAATTTCCCCCAAAAAGATAAAAAAAAACCCCAAAAAACTCACAGGCCACACACTGACACATTCACCTCTTCGTCCGAGATAGTGATTATCTTTGGCACTGTTACTTGCACTTCAAACTTGGGAAGCACTGTTGATAGGATATAAAGGAAGTTTGTGATTAGTTTTCAACTTCTGGGGAATTAGTACTTTCAGGTTCTTTGTAACACTTCCCTAATAATATTTTAGGCTCGCGAAGAGGCAGCTCTCTTCTCCAATACATCTACCTTGCTCAAATGCAGACAGTTCGAAGAACAATCACAGACCCCTGTAACCTTACTAAAACAAGGGTGTTTTCTATTTCTTGGAGATGAAAAAATTGCTATAAATATAACTAAGTTATATAAAGTCGTATTCACAAAGCATTAATTGTCTTAATGGGAGTAAGGTATATAATTGGTTCTACTCCAACCCCAGTCTCACCCAGGAAAAGTGAAAGGATTCAAAATAAACTCAAATTCTAGGCCCTAGAAGTTTAAATATGAAGAAAAATATTCCATGATTTTCCATAATTCATACCAAATTCCTGCACGGTGAAGGGGTGCTCTGCCGTTTCACCTGATTCTTTCTTTACCAGCACTTTGTAGGAGCCCAGAAATGGCTCTGATGAGAGGGGAAAGGCCAATTGCTTGAGGCCACTCTCTAACTTGACCTTCTGCCATTGTGCGATGCGATTTCCTTTGGGGTCCTATAGATACATTAATTGAAAATTACAAAAGAGCTTAGAGCATTAGAGACAATATAGGGGATCTATAGAAACTCTATGTTATCCACAAAGAGGAAAATGGGATGGTCATAAGGAATGGGGAGGGGAGATGAGTTAGAACCATCTGTGTTACATGAGTTTGAAGGCTTCTCCCTTAATGACAAGTTTCTGGGATATTGTAAGAATCTCTCAAATAAGAACATTTTCCCTAAATTTATTACTTTACATGTAATTATGGAATGCTTCGTCTCACTTACCTCAATGGATACTAGTGGAATCTGAAAGAGAAAAGAGAAATAAAGGAGTTTAGAATTTGTTCACAAGTATTCTCAGTTCTGATTTATAAGCAAGGTAGTTTTATCTAGAATAACTTTACCCATAGTAAAACACATAAAATAATTACAGGTTAAGTTTTACAGAACTTTTAACTAATCATTTAAAAGCAATTAATAAATAATGATAAGAACGTAATAGGCTGTCAGCAACAAATACATAGATGCACCTACCATTCATGAGAAATGGGATTTATTAATATTACTTAAATGTGCATGGCATCCCAGGGAAGTACACTCTTTTGCTTTGAAATTTTATAGGCTGAGAAGTAAAATACCAACAGAACTATAAGTAACTATGTTCAGACCCAAATATTAAGATGAATCACAGAATTCTTAGGTAGTTCTAAGAGTAAAGAAGAGTAAATAGCTCCTCTGCTATCAATGTTTATTCATTATTAAAAAGTAATATTTATTAAGTGCCTACCATGTACTGTGTGTCATTATAGATTCTGGGAATATTGCAATGCACAAAAGAACAATATATCTGCTTTCAAGGAGCTTACTTTCTAATAAGGAATAGATACAAAAGTATATATGTGCATACAGTTGATATATATCTAAATATATATATTTCATATCTGTATATATTTGAGATTAATTGAGAACTTTCTAAGTTAAGGGTGACAATTTCCTAAGTTCAGTACCAAGACAAAAAAAAGTAACTACTCTCTTGACCAGAGATACTGTTTAAAATAAAGATCTTACACTATTCTAATGCCAAAAATTACTGTTCTCGATACCAGATTCTCCTCTCCCTGGTCCTCCCCCAGCACCCAAAACAGACTCCCAGCCAGGTTACACAGATAATAATGATTCTGTATAGATATTAGGAGACTCACCAACTCATTCAGGGGGTGAAAATTTTCATCCAATGAGACAACACGAAACTTCACTGAAACAGAAATATTTTTTATCACTAGAAATCTTAAATCAGGCCTATAGACTGGTAAGACAAACCATTAAGAAACCAGTATTATAGGGCTTTTGATTGGGGAATACGTAGGGGAGGATCTTTCCTTTTTGAAGTTGTCCTGACTGTTGGCCTCTTTGTACCTGTCTGTCCTGGTTTGTAGATAGGTTTGTCTGTCTGGACAAAGACCAGGCTCTCTTGGTTTTTAACCAGCACTGCGGTCTGCCTTCTGAATTCGTGGGTTGCTCCTTTCACTTGGACAGAAAGAAGCATTACCTCTTCACTGGATGGAGATCTTGGGACCTGAAATACAGGAGAGATCCGGAGAATCCATTCAGTCTTCAATGTTTCCTCCTCCATCCCTGCTGCACTCCTCCCTGGAGATATTGCTCTTTTACTTAACTTCACTCCCTCATTCTTATCACAGAAAATTGGCATGAACAGAAATTATTTTTGTTATTTTACAAGTAGGGAGACGGGACATAAGATGGAGGAAAATACCTCAATAAGAAAGGTCATAAATGAGATTCACATCACCTTATAGATCAGTCTTGATTCAGTTATACACTGAACTTGAGCAAGTTTTTATGTGTGGAAAGGACATGGTAAAAGCATATTTAGGCCCATGAGAAAGAAAACTACAATATTTTATTACTATAGGTTGTGGCATTTTATATATGGGCAACGCTGAAGAGTTACTGGATATTTGCTCATGGTAATTTCTATAACTTTCACTCTTAGAAAGAGTATGGGGTGATACATTCCTGTCAGCCCACCACTGGGGGCTTATGTTGAGTACCAGAGGCCGGTTGCATGAAAAGATTCATGCAATAGGCCTTCCCTTCCTCTGGCTGCTGGCACCAGTTTTCCTCTGGTACCTGGGTCCCAGGCCTTCGCTCCAGCCAGAGCCTCCTTCAGGCCTTCACTACTCTGGCTGGAGCCGCCTTCAAGCTTTCGCTGCTCCAGCCGGAGCTGCCTTCAGTCTTCGCTGTGCCGCTTCGTGCCTTCATGTGCAAATTAACCACCATCTTTGTTGGCAGTTAATTTGCATATTGCTCTGATTAGCCAAAGGTGGGTGTAGCGAAGGTATGGTCAATTCGCATCTTTGTCTATTATTAGATAGGATTGGCCTACTTTGCTTTATTAATCTTTTTCTCATTTAATTTTAACAAGTCACCTTTTCTTTTTGTCTAGTGCATGCTGCTTTTTTTTTTTTTTTGCTAATAGAAACTTTCTTTGATCATTAAGTTGGTTTAAATATGCTTATAAATATTTGTATCTCATAAATTCCTGCATAGATGCTTACTTTCTACTCTTAGTTGGTACATTTTATTCCTTTCTGAAGTCCTTGCCTGCCTCTCAAAGCCTTATCTTGACTGAATTCTGGATCTCTGTGACCCTGACTAATAGAAACAAGTGTATTAAGCCAAATAGCCATACTCACAGTGAAAGAGACACAGCGGAATAAGTCCTTTTCTGCCACCAGGTTAGTGAAGAGGCTCTCATTCTTCCTGAGAGAATCCAAGGAAACACTTACAGTCACTGTCTCATTGAGGTGGCTCAGAAGGATGCAGGCCTTCTCAGGGGTCTCAGTGTGGAGCAGGGAGGGGACCAGCGCCATATACTGCCTGGAAATGGGGAAGTCCAATTAGAAGAGAGGCATTGTTATCAACAGCAATATTTTCCATAAAAATTATGGGTACTATCATTAGGTCTATACCAAGAGACGATGCATTGATAAGCATGAAATTAATCTTTGCTATTGAACAGTATATATGAGAATTATTCTCCTACCTATCACCAGTACTATGGCAGTGAACATTTTGCTTGAGGTGAGCCTTAAATAGATTAAAATTAGTAGGTTTACCTTCCTTTAAGAAACCCAAAAATGTAGGCATCTGAATTAAAATTAAACAATATACTAATTATATATATTTATGTTGTAAATCTATTTTACATTATGATTTTGTAGAAAACAAGCAAGCTTTCAGGTGAGACACTGAAAAACCAATCAATTTACAGAACTTTCATTGAGTATCTTATTATATCTATATCTGTATCTATCTATCTATCTATCTATCTATCTATCTGTCTATCTATCTATCTATCTATCTAATCTATCATCTATCTATTTATCATCTTCAACAGCCCTGAGAAAAATGTTATGGCAAATACTTGCTTTTCACTTTACAGATGTGGAATCTGAGACTTAAAAAAAGTGAGTCATTAATTTAAAGTTTCAGTTGTGGTAAGCAAGTAATGAAATCTTAGGGTGTTACATAACCCTGGATGTTTGCATTTAAATATTTGCCTTTCAACTCCTGGCTAGACAATGGCGCCACTCAAAAATGTTCTTCTAAGTGATTGACTTTTGAGTCTTGGTAACTCATGAGCAAAACAGAGACGTTTCCAATACCCTCATATATACTTTTATTGACCCTGTAGTTTTCAAACATTTTTAAATTGAGTTTATTAGGTGACATTGGTTAACAGAACCATACAGGTTTCAAATGCCCTCTTCCACCTCCTCCAGCCCTCTTTCCTTCTGGCTATCACCGGACTGTTACAGCTTAATCCTTTCACCATTTTTTCACCAAGGATTTTTGTTTACAGAACTCATAATAATTTTAGACAGCATGCAATACATATTTTCAAAAAAACATTGAGCCTGCAACCTGGGCATGTGCCCTGATCAGGAAATCTAACCATGACCTCCTGATTCATAGGTCTATGCTCAACCAATGTGCCACAGCCGCTGGGCTTTATGATGATATTTTAAGATAAAACATATTCTTGTATTAGTTTTTCATGGAATTTTAAATATCATAGAAATAAGATACCCAATATAACTTATTTTAAAAATAAATCAATGCTCAGCTGGTATGGCTCAGTGGTTGAGTGTCGACCCATGAACCAGAAGGTCACAGTTCAATTCCTGGTCAGGGCATATGCCCGGGTTTCTAGGCTTGATCCTCAGTAAGGGGCGTGCGGGAGTCAGCTGATTGATGACTCTCTTTCATCATTGATGTTTCTATCCCTCTCTCCCTCTCTCTTCCTTTCTGAAATCAATACAAATTTTAACATATTTTAAAAAAAGAAATCAAAACGTTTTTGTTGTAATGATCAGAAATTTAACATCTTTCCCCTTTTCCTACATAAATTTAACTCTTCTTTTAAATGTAATGTGACCCTAAAGTTGTAAATATTGACCATTTTCTTCTAGATTCAGTTATTTTCAAAGGTCTTATTCGTATAACAAAATATTTCAAAACAAATTAATATATTGTAAATTATAATGCATACATATTAGATATAAAATAAAAATAATTTTGAAGCACATCTTTAAAAGAATGATGTGTTTTTTAAATGTATCTATGGATGGGTATTCCTTGTTGCAAGAATTAAAAAAGGTCTAACATTAATTCTGTTGCTATTTTTGGTTTGTATAGATGAACCATGAAAAATTATTCATATATAAGTAAGTATATACAGATAAAACAATTATATCCTTATTACCAGTTCTTGTAAATCTTCTACATTAGATGCTAGAAATCACCCCGTGCCCTGTTATCAAGAATTGCTTCACCCAGCCGGCATGGCTCAGTGGTTGAGCATTGTCCTATGAACCAGGAAGTCACAGTTAGATTCCTGATCAGGACATATGTCAGGTTGCAGGCTCGAACTGCAGTGGGGGCATGCAGGAGGCAGCTGATTGATGACTCTCTCTCATCATTGTGTTTCTATCCCTCTCTTCCTCTTTTTTCCTCTCTGAAATCAACACAAATATATTTAAAAAAAGAATAAAGCAATACCAATTTGTTAAAAAAAGAAAGAATTCCTTCTAATCATCTGTCAGCTGGTTATTTCCTTTAGGTCTTCTTTCAATTTTGTTGAAACAAAAAAATTGTCACCACATGATCTATTAAAGGATTTTTTCCCTTTCCTTAGAATCCTTTGCTTCTCAAAAATCAACATCAGTATTTCAAATTGTTCCTTTCTTTGGCACCCTGAAGATTTTTATACTCCAGGACAATGCTCCACAGTAAAAACATTAGACTGAGGGAGAGATTTGTTTTTCTCTCATAAGGTGGAAGATGGGTAATTAATAAAGGGGAGGTGAGGAAGGATAAATAGCACGGTCTCCAGCAGATCAATATGAATGTGAGAATCTGAAAGCTGATTCCATTGAAACTATCCATTTTAATGCCCCTTAGAAAGTCCTAGTATATTCATGGATAATTTAGAAATTCAGAGTTCCAGAGAATTTGAAAAAAAAATAGTTAAGAAAAAGTAAAGAATGAATAAACCAGATTCATAAAATATCATCATTGAAAGAGACCTTAGAGATAAGAAGGTGACAGTTTCATAAGGAAGACAAATGAATGATATAGAGAAGAATCTAAAATAAAGGAAAAAATTCTTTTTTTAACTCTTAAAAGTGCATTTTAATGAACCAAGCAAGAGTTTAAAACATATATATGTGTATGTGTATATATATTCACACACACACACACACACACACACACACACACACACACACATACATATATATATATATATGGTTGCTCCACAAGTATTTCAATTCAAGGCAGAAAAAAAAAAAAGGAAGAAAAGGACTCTTTAAGTTTATGCTCTATGGGAAACTCACGGTTGTCCAGAAACTGAGGCATCTGCAGGCAGGAAGACCAGGAAAAGGACAATAAGACTTGGATGGAGTTTGTTCTTCTCCATGCTGCTGGGAGAAGGGACCTGAGGAGGCCAGACTGTATTGTGCCTGACTCCCTGTAGTTGGTCTGGTCTCAAGCCTTCCTCAGAGCAATGAGGCTTTTTGTTGCTCTCTGAACAAACAGGAAGTTCCACCCCCACCAGATGTCTAAACAAACTAAAAGTCTCTGAATGTTCTCTGGAAGGGTCATTGCGCCCAGGGGCCTAATTACAGTAAAAGGGTCAAGGTTAATTCCTGGTGGGCTAACTAGAATTCTTGGAGGGATAAAACCCACATTCCTGTAAGTGCTCACTTTCTCTGGGTTTTACTATAAAGCAGCTAATCGGCTTTTAAATCCCTTCTCTCTTTTACTCCCTCCTTCCATTTCCCCACAGCACTTTTTATGGCATTCCTCACGTCTTTTGCATGAACAGTTGGTAAGGGAAACAACAATTTAAGCAATACTGGACAGGCTCAAAGTAGATATTTTCCTGCAAGTCAGTGAGCCTGCAAGTCTTCTGTTTTATATGCCTACCTTAAGTGTTGAAGCAGTTTCAGAATTCAGCAGTCCTCTATGGAAATGACAATGGATTCAACGAATCGGTTTTTGACTTTAGGGATATCACTGGATTGCAGATGAAGAGCCAGTCCTGGAAGAATGATAACTGAAAATATTTTCCTGTATTAAAAAAGTGAAAAGATGAAAGAAGAGGTAGCCAGACCTCAGAAACAAACTTGGACCTACTGTGCCTAACAAAGATCTCAGTTGCCTTTACCATCAACTATGCAAACACATTTTGTTACTGACTTTTAAATATGCTGCTCCTTATCATCTTTAATCACATAATCCATGTGTTCATCCAACTATTTGTTTTTTTTAAAATAAGTATTTTACAGCCTAGTCAGGGTAGGTATCATGTAAAATAATGGAGGTAGAATGGGCATTGATACATTTATATAGGCGAGAGATGATGGCATTTTGAACTAGGGCCTATTTACTAGGCTAATCATAATGAGCTCAAAAAGAGGTTGACAGATGTATATTATGTTTAGAAGGTAAAATTATAATATACAATGAATATAGGAAAGTGACTGATAAAGAAGAATGTGCTTTTCAATTTTCCTGGCTGGTCACTGAGTGAATTGTGTTGCCTTTAACTGATTGAGTAAAACAGGAAACAGGGTGGGAACAGAAGGACAGGGTGGCGACTGAAAGTTGGAAAGATAGAGTCTAGTTTTAGAAAGTACTTGTGGGATATTCAAGTATTAATATTCACAGGGGTTTATCATTTTCATCTAGAGTTTAGAGCAGTGTGGTCTAATAGAAATAAATGTGACCTCTTAGGTAACTACTTTTTCTAGTAGCCACATTAAACAAACAATAAGAGCCCCACCAGTGTGGCTCAGAGGTTGAGCATTGACCTATGAACCAGGAGGTCATGGTTCGATTCCCAATCTGGGCACATGCCTGGGTTGTGGGCTCCCTCCCCCTAGCCCGTGTGTAGGAGGCAGCCAGTCAATGATTCTCATTGATGTTCCTATTTCTTTCTCCCTCTTTCTTCCTCTCTGAAGTCATTAAAAATACATTAAAAAGCACACACCAAAAAGATGTCTTCTTTCAATAAAGTGTCTAATAGGTCCTTTGCCATTTTTGATTGGATTATTATCTTTGTTCTGTTAAGTTGTATGAGTTCCCTATAAATTTTGGAGATTAACATTAGCAAATATGTTCTCTTATCTAGTGGGCTTTCTTGTTGTTTTGTTGATGGTTTTTTTCGCTGTGCAGAAGCTTTTTATTTTTATGTAGTCCCATTTGTTTATTTCCTCCGTAGTTTTCATTGTCGTAGGAGTTGTATTGTTAAAGATATTGCTATGACAAATGTCTGCTATTTTGCTGCCCATGGCTTCTTCTAGGATTTTTATGGTTTTGCATCTTACGTTTAAGTCCTTTATCCATTTTAAGTTTATTTTTGTGTATGATGTAAGTTGGTGGTCTAGTTTTATTTTTTTGCATGTATCTGACCAATTTTCCCAACACCATTTATTGAAAAGACTGTCCTGACTCCATTGTATGCTTTTTGCCTCCTTTGTCAAATATTAATCGAGCATAATGGCTTGGGTCAATCTCTGGGTTCTCTATTCTGTTCCACTGGTCTATATGTCTGTTCTTGTGCCAATACAAGGCAGTTTTGAGAACAGTGGCTTTGTAGTATAGCTTGATATCTGCTATTGTGATCCCTCCAACTTTGTTCTTCTTTCTCAATATTACTGCAGCTATTGGGGGCCTTTTTTTATTCCAGATGAATTTTTGGAGATTTTGTTCAATGTCTTTGAAGTATGCCATTGGTATTTTAATGGGGATTGCATTGAATCTACAGATTGCTTTGTGTAGTATGGACATTTTAATGACGTTGATTCTGTCAATCTGAACACAGTATATTCTTTCATTTGTTTATGTCTTCCTCTATCTCTTTTTTTCAGCATCCTGTAATTTTCTGAGTACAGGTCCTTTACCTTCTTGGTTAAATTTATTCCCAGGTAACTTTCTTTTTTAATTTTTATTTTTTTTATTTTCTTTATTGATTAAGGTATTACATATGTGTCCTGATTCTCCCCTCACCTCTTCTCTCCCCCCCTCCCCCCGACTCATGCCCTCACCTCCCTGGTGTCTATGTCCATTGGTTAGGCTTATATGCATGCATACAAGTCCTTTGGTTGATCTCTCCTTACCCCCTCCCTCCCCTACCTTCCCCCTGAGGTTTGACGGTCTGATCGATACTTCTCTGTCTCTGAGTCTGTTTTGTTCATCAGTTTATGTTGTTCATTAGATTCCACAAATGAGTGAGATCATGTGATATTTATCTTTCTCTGACTGACTTATTTCGCTTAGCATAATGCTCTCCAGGACGGTCTGTCCATCTATGCTGTTGCAAATGGTAGTATTTCTAGGAATCTTAATATTTGTTGTTGCAATGATAAATGAGATTGTTTTTTAAGTTTCTCTTTCTGTGAGAATATAATGAACAACATAAATAGAACCAGAGTCATAGAAGCATTGAACAGACTGTCTAACCTATGAGGAAAGGCGGGGGGTGAGGGGGAAAGAGATCAACCAAAGGACTTGTATGCATGCATGTGAGCATAACCAATGGACACAGACAAGGAGGGGTGTGAGGGCATGTGCTGGGGGATGAGGGCAGCCAGGGAGAGGTCAATGGGGGGAAAAGGAGACTTATGTAATACTTTAAACAAGAAAGAATTAAAAAACACACACACCAAAAACACAGATTAATTTTAATATTGTTTTACTTAGCTCAATATATCCAAAATATTGTTTCAACATTCAATCATTATAAAAATTAATGAGATACTTTACATAGTTTTTGTACTAAGTCTTTGAAATCTGGTGCGGGGTCTATACCTACAATACATATCAATTTAGACTAGCCACATTTCAAGTGCCTAATCACCCAGGTAGCTACTGGTTACCATATTTGACACAGTAGACTTCTCAAATTATAGGTCACCATTATAGGGGGTTATGATATTATAATCACTGAGTCATGACCAAGATTTTAAAATATGAACTAGAATATAATAAAAGAGAAAATATAGTTTATCAAAAAGAGTAAGTGAAAATATTGATTTGGAAAATATGTTTCACATAATTTTAGCAGAAACTGCTGGTTGCGTCCTAATACCCCTTCTCCAATTCTATTAATAATGGAACTTCTGCCCTAACTGGTTTGGCTCAGTGGATAGAGCGTCGGCCTGTGGACTGAAGGGTCCCAGGTTCGATTCCGGTCAGGGGCATGTACCTTGGTTGTGGGCACATCCCCAGTAGGGGGTGTGCAGGAGGCAGCTAATTGATGTTTCTCTCTCATTGATGTTTCAAACTCTCTATTCCTCTCCCTTCCTCTGTAAAAAAGTCAATAAAAAAAATAATGGAACTTCTGAGCTTTAGCTGGCCACAACTGTCTTTTATTTCTCTCTGGAAGTGGGCATTGCTAAGTTCTGCTGATTGCAGTGAGAGAGGAAGTGATGTATGCAACTCTCAGTTCATGACTTAAAAAAGGATGGGTTGTTCATAGCAGCACAATTTACAATACCTAAGATCACAAAACAGCCCAGGTGCCCATTAGTAGATGAGTGGCTAAAAAGCTGTGATACATTTACACCATGGAATGTCATGCAGCAGTAAAAAAGAAGGAACTCTTACCCTTTGAGACAGCATGGATGGCCCTGGAGATTATTATGGTAATCAAAATAAGCCAGTCAGAGCAAGACAAGTAGCAGATGATCTCACCCATATGTGGATGGAATCTAATGAACAAAATAAAGTCATGAACAAAATAGATCAAAAGACATAAACCATGGAACAGACTGATGAATCTCAGAGGGAAGTTGGGGGAGGGTGGGTAGATAGAAAGAGATTAACCAAGTAATTTATATGCATATCTACATAACCCATGGACACAGACAATAGGGCAATAGGGTAGTAAAGGCCTGGGGCGGGGGCGGGGAGGGGTCAATGAGGAAAAAGAAATACATTTGTATAACTTTCAACAATAAAGGTAAATAATAAAAAAGAAAGGATTAGATTTGGTGCTACTCCTTTCTTCTTTCCCACTGGATGTAATGCAGACAGGATGGCTGTAGTCAGAGCTTCCACCATAGGCCATAAGGTGAGAGCCACATGACAAAAATGGCAGGACATCAAGTAGGACACTCTTTCAGTCCCTGGATCATCTAGACTGGATTTTCACTTATAAGGAAAAAGAGTTCTCTTATCTAAGCCATTGCATTTTGAGATCTCTTTGTTAAAGCAGGAGAACGTGTATCTTAACTAACATATTTTCTCTTTCTTTATCACTCTCTCCATCTCAATTATCTCTATCCGTTGTAATTATGAGTGTCCTAGGTCACAATGTAAAAAATTTACGTTGTGAAAATATGATTACAGTGTTATATTTATATTGTGAACTGACAAATGAAAATGTACAAAATTTATTATGATAGGTTAAAGTTAAAGCAAGCTGAACACTACCAGTTTATAAGATTTAGCCTACTTATATAGATTAAAGATTTATCAGCTCTTTGGGAGAACTGATGCTATTGAAATAGATGATAAGACACAGGTAGGATATGTTGATGAAAAAAGAAAGAGCACAGGGCAGAGCCCAAGGAATTCCACTGTCGGCGAACAAGACGGGACAGAGCGAAAGGGAGAAGTACCCAGGAAAGTAGAGATCTGTGAATCCCAAAGAAGGGACAATATTAAGAAAAAATAGTCAAGAGAAGATTTTTACTAATCAGAGTAATTGGGGCTTTAGCCAAGACCTTCAAATAATAATTAAAAAAATCATTTCAAAAGTTTGCATGGTTTTATAATGTGTTAATTCAAAATATAACAGAATTTAAATTGTTTTTAACAAACTAGAAATAATTACTTATTTGTCAGATTAGTTACTTAAAGTAAGAGGGGGACAATAACAACATTCACTTGGTGCCTTATGACGAAT